CTGTCAGCTATACAGGCCCTGGATTCCAAACCTACCGACAGCACACTACAAGGTCTAACACAGGAACTTGCTATGTTGTCAAATAAGGCAGAAATTCACTTGCAGTGGATTCCGTCTCACTGTGGCATCAAAGGCAATGAAAGCGCAGATGCTTTAGCCAAGGAAGGCAGTAACAAACCACAGACCTACCAGCCACTATCTTTTCTAGAAGTCAAAACTCTCATTAAGAGAAAATCAGAAACAGATTGGAAAACCAACACTGGTTATAACTACGGAAAAGATTTTCTGAAACACTTGAACAGAACAGACCAAGTCACAGTTTTTCGCTTACGCACTGGACACTGCAGACTCAATAAACACTCACATAAATTAGGAATGAGCCAAACAGCTCTCTGCCAGTGCCTTCGTGCTGAACAGACTCCAGAACATGTCCTGCAAGACTGTCCTCTCCTGGCGGAGCTGCAGAGCGACATATGGCAACACCCAGTAGAACTGACAACTAAGCTTTGGGGAAACCTAAGAGACCTTGAAAAGACATCCCAGTTTATGACCCACAGTGGATTATGCGCATGACCAGAGATCGCTGAAGAAGAAGAAGAAGATAGTTCAGGATGTGTTCTCTCGTGCCCCAGTATAACTGTGCCAAATGGCTGTACAATTGAATGGAGTTTTTGCATTTGCACCTATTTTTTCCCCTCATCCTTGAGATGTCAATCCTACAGACCTCAGTCAGAGAGGCGAAAAACTTAAAAAAAATGTTTAGTGCGAAAGTTAATTCTCCCCCCCCCCCCCCCAATAATTTTATTAAAAAAAAGGGGGGGGGGGGGGGGGGGCTAAGCATCATTTTGTAACAATGTATATAAATTCTCTTTAGAAGTATTTGTGAATACATTTCATATTAGTTCAGCTATATTATTATTATTTTTTGGGGGCCATTTAGTAGAGTGTTATTGTTGTTATTATTATGATCTGAAACTAGGATTACACCCCTTTGGGCTGCTCCAGATATTCTCCTTCTCTCCCCCTCCTCCCCCCCCCCCCCCCCCCGCTTTCTTCTTGACAGGGCACCTGCTCTAAAAGTACTAAAAAAACAATTAGCAGTAAAATCAGTGATATAGTTAACTGTACCAGTGCTTCATATTTGTCACTTGTGCAGAAGAATCACCAGCATAAAACATCATTGAGAATCTGTCATTTTGACATACAAACAATACAGTGTCCATTTTTGTCAACTCAAAGCAAATACAGTATGTTTGTACATGCAACATAAAAATCAGAAGTAAATTTTGCAAAGAAAACGTAATTCATGATGAAATTTTTGTTTCAGTACGTGAACATTGCTTAAAAATATATGCACATGTACAGCATTGGTGCCGTTTGTCCATACAGTTTGGCCTCACTCAGCAGATGTTGAAGGGTATCTATGCAAATGATCCAAGTCACAGATTTCTTGAGGGATATATCAGTGACTCCTTCTCATATGGCCATTATTTCAAGCAGTATAAGAAGCATTGTTTCATCCAACTGATGTTACAGAATGAAGAACAATGTGCATCAGAGGTCACAGTTGCCTGGTATGTAACTTTAAAATTTTTTTTTTTAAAAATCCTTCAATTAGTAACCAAGAAGGATTGCTTGAAGGAAGCTATTTAAAAAAAAAAGTATAAATAAATACAACTATAAGGAAAAGATAGGCCATGTGATGAGAGGGAGGCTTTGGAAAATTGTGACAACTTGGAAGATCAACAGTAGAAGAGGGAGAGGTAGAATGAGAGAGATGATGATGGATGGATTGCAATGGTAGCACAGAGGGATATCATCGATGGAACTGATCCAGATCTGTGGAGATGCATGAATACCTACACCAGTCATCAAGGCACCTGATGATGATCCTTTAATTATTAATCTCATATTTAGCTCTTTCAGATCCAGAAGCTTTCAAAACACCTTTATTATTAGCCAAAATGAATACATGAGTGCATTATTTTCATTCAGGCAGCAAATACTTCTGGTATAAAACATAAGTGTTGCATATTAGAACAATAGATTATAAACTGTTACCTTGGTAAACAAGCTTCATCTGTTCATTATCCTTGGATGTATACTAAACAGTACATATATCAAGTGAATATTTCTACAGTACATATATCAAGTGAATATTTCTATAAGAAATAATGGGAGAATGATTAATCTGTTTCCCTAAAAATATCCTATTGTTTTGTGGCATATTATACATTGATTGCTTGTATAAAATAAATTATATACTGCCTAATACTAAAATATGTAAATGCAAAAATATTTTGATAAAATAAATGATAATTTAACCCCACTTCACCTTCATGAGGAGAGTCAAGTGCATTCTAGGATGGTGCTGAGACAGGAGGAGGAGGAGATGTTATTGTTTAGAAGGAGAGTCCCCTTCCAATAGAACTTCAGGAATATGATATTTTGGTGTTTTTTTTTCTCCTTTTCTTTTTTCCCTACTTGGCTCTGGTTGAGGCTCAACAAGTTTGACGTGCTAACAATCTACCTACAGAACTTTGCTTCTGCCTTCTCCTTAGAATGTTTTGTAAATGTTACATTGTCTGGTCTTTATAGACAATCCTGTTACAGTTTGTTTTGACTTTGTTGGGTTAATAATTCTCTTCATAGTCATTGACATCTGTCTATGGCTTTGTCTCGAGAAAGGAAAACAAAGGTTGGGTGTCATGACTAATTTTGACTCATACAAGTTTTTGTTCCAAAAAAAGTTTTCACGTCAAAACTAAACAGGACATATACCAAGTTGAAAGTATACCAAAGCAAACATATACTAAGATACCACAGAATTTCTATAGTGTGTATGTTCACATAATGCATTGCATGCTACACAAGGGCAATGGTTGGTCATACATGGTGTTTCTATGAACTGAAAGAGTTGAAATTGATAATACCAGAATTATTCAGTTCAGTCTGCACCTGCAGTTTTTCTTTGGAGTATTTATTGGTTGTTGGTTAAGAAAAGTAATACCATACAAAGCATATGCTAAAAGAGAAGAGAAACTGAGCCAGAGATAGACCAAGAATAAGGGGAAAAGATAACATTAGAGGAACTATACAGCAGTGTAAACCTCTAAATACCTCGGCTCTCAAATATGTAACAATGGCAGCTGTACTAAAGAGATCAAGACAAGGAAGGCTTGATATGACAACAGCTGCAATGTCCCAGCTGTGTACAATGTGGAAGAGCAAAATTAGCATCACAGTTAAGGTCAGTATATACAAATCACTGGTATTGTCTATTTTCTTATTCAGATGTGTGAGTTGGACTCTCACTGAGGAAATGAAAAGGAGGATTCAGGCTGTTGAAAGTAAATAATACAGACACATTTTACGAATTAGTTATTTATAACACAAAACTAACCAATATGTTGGAGATAAAATATACAGCTTTGGAGGTTATCAGGAACCTCTCTTTGCAGTTGTGAAACACCACAAGCTATCTTGGTTCGGGCACCTGGTGAGACATGATTTAGTTGCAAAGACAATACTTCAAGGAACATTGGTGGGTAGTCGAAGAAGATGAGGGAAAAAAAAGAACCTGAAATGACAGCATCAAGAAATGGACAGGACTTAGTTATCATACTCTTATTCATCAAGCGGAAGACAGAGAAAGATGGAGGGTTTTATATTCTAGTGCTTCCATCGATACACATCCACGACCCTTACAGGTCAAGGGTTATGTTATGTTATCAAGTTTCTGTGTTTGAGGTGACCAGAAGAGAAAATTGACTAATTGAGAGCTTCCTTTGAAGTCAGAGTTTGTCTACCCAAGAGGCAAGGAACCAACAGTCTGCATGCAGAGTCAGACCTGTGAAATGGAAGTGCACGTAACACTCTGTTTCTGGAAAAAGACTAGAGGCCAGAAGTACTCAAACAACCAGAACTTTGCACCAGAGTTTACAGCTGGTGAACGTGAAGAAAGAAGATATCCTTCAGTATAAATTGATGTTTAATTCTTTCAGTCTAGACATTAATTTCTTTAAGTCATTATTTACAAAGCAGTGGCTGCTTAAAATTATCAGTATCTGTATGTGAATGGGGTTCAGATAGTGATAGAATGGCACATATCCTTAATTCTAGTTCTCCTTATCAGGTCTGCACTGATTAGTTAACTAACTAACATGATTCTGGAGGCATGGGCAGTGAGATAGAGAGCTGGTTAGTCCACATTATGGAACTGATCCAGCTATGTTTAAAGTTATAAAGGTTTTAAGTTGTGACAGTTGTCTTAATTACATCAAGTTTTAGCCCATATGGCCTGGTCTGTCTTTGCAGAATGGCTAGCTGCCTGTCATCATCAGTTCTTGTTGTGCCTAGTGGCACATGTGGCTTCAGAGAGGACTTTCTATGCTTTCCTGTCCTGTGCAATCTTCAGTGCAGTTTTCCATGTCACTTTCCATCGTTCGTCTCCATGTTGTTTTTAGGCGCCCCTGTTTTCTCTTTCCATCTAGTGTCCATGTGAGAGCTGTTTTGGCAGGTATATCAGGATTCATTCTCATAACGTGGCCAAGCCATTTCCATCTTCTCTTGGTTATCATATTGTCTAAAGTTTCTTGGTTTGTGTCTTGAAGTAGTTTAGTGTTTGAGATTGTATCTGGCCAGAAAATTTTTATAATTCTACGTAGACATGTGTGGTGGAAGGCGGACAGCTTGTGTGCATCCTTTTTGGTCATTCTCCAGCATTCTGCTCCATAAAGAAGAACTGGCAAAATGATGCTCTTGTAGAGTCGCAGTTTCATTCCTCTGCAGTAATTGTTGGATTTCCAGATTTGCCTCATCCTTCCAAAAGCAGCTCTAGCTTTGTTCAGACGTGGCTGTATGTCCTCTTCGGTCCCTCCTGGCAGGAACACCACACTGCCAAGGTATGTGAAATATTCTACTAGCTGCCTGTGATGATGTGATGATTGTTAATGATGTGTTTATTGAAAACATGTAATACTCTTCTGTGTGCAGCCAGCATGTTTGTTGATATTTTGCCATGGTGGGAAAGATGCACCTATTGGATTCTTGCTGTGTCAGGTGTTGCATACTCAGTTTACATCTTGTTTCTGGAAGGAGACAGTAAGTCACATTATTACCATAATTTACTTTACTTATTGATTGATAATATTACTGATGAACGTGTGTCTGCAACATCAAAGAGATAAGTCAGGGAGAAGATTGGGTAAAGGTACCGGAGGATAGAGAAGAGCTGCACAAAGTCATAATTACCATGGGACAGGAATGAGCAGTGTGACGTGCAGATCAAGACCGGCTCCAGCTGACGGGAGATGTTTCTGACGTCACCGAACCGGGCTAATGATACTTCAATGCAGCGATTCTCAAACTGAGTCCTGTGGCACCCAGGGGAGGGGGAGGGGGGGGGGGGGCGCTGCGAGCCTATGTCAGGGGTGCCATGGCAATAATCAAGAATTATTCAGAATCTGCTGACATTAAATTTGCCCTGTTTTTCTTCTTTTCTTAAGTGTCCAAACCAATTTAAGGGTGGTATTGCTGCACATTTGTGTGTGTGCCTGACAAAAAAAGTTTGAGAAACGCTGTTTTAACATATTGTTAGCCCAGTTTGGTGACGTCAGCAGCATGGCCAGTCAGCTCTTGTGCAGATAGAAAACAACTCTAATCAAGGAGATGTGATTATATACGTTGACGGGTCAGTGGCCAGGGGCAAAAAGAGTGGATAGGGCTGCATTGCAAGAGCATGAGGGAGAAGGATGATTGAGCAGAGCTTGATATAGAATATGATCAAATCCAGCATGATTATGGAAGCTGAGTTTATAACTGGTTTTCCAAGGGGCAGATAACATCTCAGTCACACATATTGTCATGGTTTCAGATTCGGAAAGCATGCTGAGGAAGGTTTTCTTCATATGCAATAGGTCACATCAATCCAGAGGTCGTAGTGGTGAGAGTCACATTCATATTTTGCCTGGGCCATGTAGGCATGTTTGGAAATGAGCAAGCAGATAAGCTGGTGGACCGGCTCCAGTGGGAGGTGTACTGCAGCTTCACATACAAAGGTGATCTCTTGCCTACAGGATGAGGCAACAAGTGAAATGGAAAATGCTGATAACCTGTGCCTGGATAAAATGATGCAGCGGGGGAGTGTCAGCAGGCTGTGAGCACCACTCAGGACTTTGGGGAGAGACAAAAACTTCTTAGAGAACAAGGCTGATTGATCAACATTTGTTATCTCTGATCAGAGTTGATATTACGAAGACATCTGAGCCAGACATGGCAAAAATGGTCATTAAAAATGAGATATTAAGTCTCAGGACTGCACATGTGGGTTCTGGGACCCCATTGTGGGTAAAACAAGAATACATTCACTGTCTCCCAGCAAACTAGTTTTAAGAGTCAACTAATTGAGGGCTTCCTTTAGAGTCGGAGGGCATCTGTCTGAGAGGCAAGGAACCATCAGTCTTCCATACGAAGAGGTCAGATCTGTAAAACATGTGCACAGAATGCTCAATTTCTAGTAGAAGACTAAAGTCCAGAGGTGGACAAACAACTGGAACTTTCCACCGAAGTTTACAGTGAACTAGAAGAAGAAGAAGAAGAAGCAGCAGCAGCAGGACAAAACATTAAACATAGTCGTAAATAAATGTTCATTTTGAACTGTTGTAGTTAGCTACTATTGCATATAAGTCTGTGTTGTCCTTTACAGTTTCATATTTTTTTTAATCTCCTTTTTTTTCAGCTACTTCATTACTTTGCATTCATGAAAGTGGCTAGCCACTTTACAATTTGTATACACATTGTATTTTTCCAAATTTAAGTAATAAAAATATTCTGCAATAATTGTGGTAAAGAGACTTCAATTAGTCATTACTTGTGGCCCCATGATAACACAAATATGACCCATTTGGCCTTTGGGGGGCCCTCAGTTTGACACATCTGATCTAGCTTATTTGTATGCAGACTGTTGGTTCCCCACCTCTCAGACAGATGTACTCCAGCTTTGAAGAAAAAATCCAAAATTAGTTGCCTGTTACAACCTGCCTGAGCTTACAGCAGCAGAGCACGAAGAAGAAGAAAGTAGTAAAAAAAAAAAATATACAGTTTGCATTTAACAGATATAAAATACAAAGTAGAGTAAAATATATATAAAATTATTATATTACTGTTTTTTATTGACTGATTTTAAGCAACAAAGTGTCATACAGCGTGTAGAAGACTAGTTAACAAACATAATGGGTTGTGAACATGTGGAAGTAAACTCATTTATCTCACAGCAGATACCTAATTATATCGTGAATAAAAACAATTTTAAAAGCATGTAATTATTACACAAACAAGGTGCAACAAACATAAAGTAGCAGTTTAATTACAGGTTATTAAATCTTGGGAAAGCCCAATGTGCAGTGACGTTGACTGTGATAAAATAATGTAAATCTTAAAGAACATTGCAGGGGTCATCAGAATTTGAAAAAGAAGACAGAATTAGAGATATATGCGCTTAGTTCTCTTCTTTTGTGTAGGTCTATTGCACAACTGATTATTTTGTTGATTTTTAAACACATATTAGCGGCAGTGTTAGAACATTTTCATATACTTATTCTCATTTTCCACTTGTGGGATGCAATTTTTAGTTATTTCGAAGCCCCACCCTGGCTTTTGCGGGGGGTCCTAAATATAGCTGGACCTGAAATAGGGCCTAACAGCTGAACAGGGTTTCCGGGACCTCTCCACGGGTGATCGTCATCAGCATGGTGGCACTTTGTGTCACCAGATGTTTTTCGCTTGTGTTATGTCCTGGTAGGATACAACTTACGTACATATAGAACATGTTCATCCAGTGTGAAATTATTGTTTTCTTTAAATGCAGAATACAAGAAAAGTCTTGTTAATGCCTCACTTTCACCCGGTTGGAACTGGCTCGGGAGAGATCAGGTAGCAGTCTATTTTAATTTTCTTATAAGATGCATACAGAAATGAAATGTAACGGTGATTCATGGTATGACAGCTTGTATTTCGATGAGGTCCTCCATGCTTGGGTTCTGGGGCTTTATTTTTTAGAACAAAGGATAAACCTACTATCCTCCTGCCAAGCATGTAGTAAACTATAATTAGGTGTAGTTTCTTCTAATTCAGAGTCCATCTGCCTAAGAGGCAAGGAACCAGCAGTCTGCATACAGATAAACCAAATCTGTAAAACTTGTGCATGCATATAAAACCCAAGTTCAAGGAGTCAATGAATAACCAGAACATTCAGCTGGAGCTTACAGCCAGTGAACACTAAGAAGAAGAAGAAGAAGAAGGATGAGGACATGCCCCCTACAAAAATGGATGTTTATGTGTTGATAGCCTCCCTCAAATGCCAAATGTTTTTTCTTTCTTTTATAAAATAACAATAATTACCATTGAAGCAACTGTTTGCTCTGCTAGTTATGTTCTAGCATATTTCCTTTCTAGTACGAAGATATTCATGCAGCACCTTCATGTCATGATGCTGTTCTCACCAGTTTGCAAATGTATATCCGAGTGCTAGGTGCGCTATCCAGGTGAATTAAATATCTGGGGGCTTTCTAAAGTTAAAGGTACGATACCAATCAAAGGGTCATCAACAACAATGGTGTGTGAATGAAATTTCAGTCCTGTCCAACAACTAGCGTGTGATGATCTCTTCCAGTGGATCTTTTCTAATGGGCAGCATCTGTTATCTTACTTTTTTGGTTTGCTTTGAGCATGCTAAAAAAAAATCTGGCAAATCCATGGGTTAATTTCAATGTATTTAGTCTGTTTTAAAAGTAGTACACTGTTATTTCTGTACTAGTTATTTTCCCCTTGGAGGTCTGCAGGAGACACCTTTTAGATTCAAAGAGTTAACTTTTTTCCCCCTTCTACATGGTTCTTTAAAAGGGTGGCTGGCTTGTGTTGTGGTTTACAGCTAGGCTGCAATATTTGCACCTTTTGGCTCACACATCTGATTTAATCAAACCCCTTAGTTGTCTTTTACAACATGTTTGTTAAGGGGGTAGAGAGTCTACTTCTCCCCCTCTAAATAGGACCCTATAACCCTGGGGGAGGAGGGGGGGGGGGCTTGTTTTGGGGGGGGGGGTGTTAAAAATTAGCTAGGGTAGTTAATTTTACTCACCAAATTACAACATGCCACTGCAGTCTAGCAGTATGTATATATTTCAGGATCTGAGTGACACTGAGTGGTACATATGGCGAAGTATACTGAAGCAAAGTATTTTGTTGAATGCTATCCATATATTGCTGTCACAGGCATGTTTCTATTTTAAAGCCAGTGCAAAGGTTAGTGTTCTTCAAGTCTATATGTGATTGTTTTTTTTTCTTGTTTTGCAAGGTTATTTTAGTTAATGAGCCAGCGTAAACAGGAAAGTGGACATCATGGATATTTACTTCTTCTGTTTCCTATCCCTGACTGGGTCATTTATTTGTAAGGGATCTTCAAGTGAAGACCTTTAAAGTTTGATAGAAATTACAGCAACCATGCCATTGTCTTGTAATATGTTAATATTGTTGTTAATTATGTCCAGAGTGTTAAGCCCATAATCTCATGGTGCAGGTAGACGCGATGACATCATAATGACAGTTTAAAGATGACCACCTACTTTTGACATGCACCGAAGAGGAGCAACATCCTGTTATCCATTTTTGTATCAGTGAAGGGGTGAAACTTGTATAAATTCAGCGGTGAATACAGGTCCAGTATAGTGATGCATGCCTGAGAGTCCAGCAAGCTTTAAATGGAGTAGGAATCGACTCTGGGGTCACTACTCTGTGTGCCTGATCCAGTTAGGAACAGTCTGTAACAGAAGTCACACCACTTTAAAACTTCCTACTCAGTCAAGATTTGTGGCACTCATGACTAGCATATTGCTGTACATGTGATTAGAGCTGGTTGTAATAACACTACAACTGTTATAAATCCATCTATCCATCCCTCCACCTATCCATCCATCTATCTACCCATCTATCCATCCATCCATCCATTCATCCATCCATCCATTCATCCATCTATCCATCCATCGAACAGTTCACCTATTCATCTACCCATCCACCCATTCATTTGCCCATCCACCCATCTGTCACCCATTCATCCATCCACTCACCTGTTCATCTCTTTAGCTACTTATCCATCTACATATACACCTACCCATACATCTCCAACTACTTGTTAATTCCTACCTTTCAATCAGTCTATCTTATATAAAGATTTACTCGTTATACCATGCAAAAGACACAGTTGAATTGTATTATAATATCACTGTTTTATTACATCCACAGTTGCACTCCTGTATACTCCTGATATGTGATCTTACTGCAGCATATATCTACTTTAATGAAAGAGTCGTGGTGCTTCTTGTCACTGCAGCATTAGTGATGTATGTTGTGTCTTTGTTGCGGAGAAAGTCCTTGGTATGGGTGACGGCCGTGGCACTGGTGTCTTCCTTGAATTATGACATCATTTATCAAATGCAGGTTTGTTCATTGTGTTTGTACTGGCATGTTAACTCTTTCAGTCCCAAAATGATTGAATGAAAAAAGTAACTTTAAAAATTGGACATGCATATCCATCTGACATTCTGCCTTTCTTATCTCCCATTTCTTATTTCATTTAATCTATACATTTCTGATTAAGTTAATCTCATAAAATAGCAACGTAAATAATAAAAACACATGTGAAATGGTAATTTTAATCACAGTAAGGTCAGAAATACCCTAGAGACAAAGATGTATGCTAAGCATACTAGTTTTTTTGGTTTGTTTTCAAGTGGGGATGTAGTTTATGCAAGCTGCCGTAGTGTGGAGACTAGACTCACACCTGTGTATCCGAAGGTCATGAGTTCAGGTCCTGAGCTTGGTTCCCAGGTCGACCCAGCCTTAAATGGGTACCAGGTAAAGTCCTGAAAAGTAAAGCCGGCCGGCAATGTTGAACACATCACCCATTGAATGCTGATTGTTATATAAAATATAGGTCTAGCCCTATAGCCCAATACACCTGAAGGTGTGGAATAGGGGGGTCCTTTACTTCTTACATGTATTCTGTATTGAGATATTGTTCAAATAGCTTCCAGTAATGTGAGTATTTATAATGATGGTGAAAAACTGTTCCACAGTTGAGCTGTGGCTAATGCCAAGTGCTTGCTTTATATAAAGTCTGTCCACAGCTTTGGCATTTGTAATAGGTTTTCTATGCTTTGCATTGTATTTAACCAGATATTGCTTTATTAATTGGTTTCTCCTTATTAAAAAGTGCTTATAGAGAAATAATAGCAAAAGAAGATATCACTAGTAAGCTAGGATATGAAACCACTTACAGACTTGCTAAGAAAGGGACAGAATGGGAACAGAAAGAGAATGGCGTAACATACTTTAAGAAAGGGCCATCTGGTCTATCACAAGTGAACAGAATCTGGCCAGAGATGACTACCACTTACTTGACCAGCATGGGCAGGTCATTATTCTATGCCTCAGGTCAGGACATAACAAACTTAACAAGCATATACACAGGCTTCGTCTAAGTCAGGGGTTCTCAACCAGTGGGTCGCGACTTTTTTGTGGGACAAATGACCATTTCACAGAGATGACCAAAGACCTTCGGAAAAAGCATATTCACTGAAGTTAGGAAGCAGTAATGAAAAAAATAATATATGTCTGGGGGTTGCCACAAGATGATTTACTGTATTAAAGGATTGCCGCATTAGAAAGGTTGAGAGCCAATGGTCTAAGTAGATGACCATTGTGCCCGTGTGGGCTGTGTGTGCAGACCGCAGAACATGTCCTGTAAGAATTCCCTTGTACAGCCCCTTAAGAAGAGAATCCTGGCCCACTGAGTCAACCCTGTACTCAAAGTTGTGTGCAGCTAAAAGGGAACTCCTAAATACAGTCAAGTTTTTCACAAGAACTTGTTTTCGGTGTAAATCAGAACACGAACACATAAAGAAAAAGCAGTAAGCTATGAGAGGCAATAAGGATAGTAACATAACCGTAAGTATATTACTTTCACTTGCTATGTGAATGCTGGTTAAAGAATTTCAACTCCTTGGGTAAAAATAGATGGCTATGACCGGCATGGGGCTAAGGTAAACCACTGTAGTGTTCAGGATAGATTGGTTTATGACTTTGACAGGAACAGGAGGACATACTGATTCACACTGTACAGACATAAAGACCTAAATGACTAATCTCTGTGTGGAAAATTACATTATGAAGACGACTAAGAAAAGTATCTGCCATCCTAGCTAGTGATGGGGTGGGGGCTGAATAATCTGCTGCAATGTCCACAGTATTTTGAATACCAATTTTTGATGGGAATAATCCTCATCAGGAAGACAGTTATTCAGCTTACGCTCATAAGGGCCTAAACTTCAGTATGAACATTACATCATCCCACATACCATTTAACTGCAGGTTACTTTGTAACTGCCGGGTGCCTTAATATAACTGTTATGCGTTTGAACGGGAGTTTTGGGATTTGCTTGTTTGATTCTCATCCAAATAGTGGTTCTTTGAGTCATTGGGTGTTAATCTTTCAGCATGCAGACCTAGAGGGCAATATTTGTTAAAAAGTGAACAATATATCAAGAAAGCAGCTGGCTGAATGGTTGAGAACGCTGGGCTCTTGTGCAGGAGGCAGATGTTTGAATCCTTGATTCCCCATGTGGGTTCTGGGGCCGCACTGTGGGGAAAACAAGGATAGATTCACTGCTTCCCCAAAAGCATGTCGTAGGAGTCAACTAATTGGGAGCTTCTTTTTAAGTTGGAGTGCATCTGCCTGAGTGGCAAGGAACCAACAGTCTGCATACACATGAGTCAGATCTACAGTCCAGAAGTAGACGAACAACCAGAACATTCCGCTGGAGTTTACAGCCTGTGAATGTAGAGAAAGAAAGAAGAATCCTCGATAAGGTCGGGGAATGTTTTGTGCCAGGGATGAAAATAAAATCCTAACCTGCACAGTCCATGGCGACAGCACTAGCCATACCACCCTACATCCTCAGGCTCAAAGACACCTCTGCCTACATTGCAAAAGTGGTAAATGAAGGCAGTAATGGGCAGAACATTATATCAATATAAGGATGACTGACTATATAAGGGGGAATTTGCATATGAAAGTATTGTAATTGTTTTCTGGTCTTTAGTGTGGCATGGACAGTGTTTGAACGTGACTTAAACAAAAGTAACCATGCAGAGTCATCTCAACACATGATATTAATTTGATCCGATAAATGTTGTAGCCTGTTAGCCTGAGTTGTCAAGTTGCACACATCACCCTAGACATTTTTGGGGATCTCCTCTCAGTAATTATATAGAGCCTATCACCCAACAGTGTACAGATGGCTCTGTGTTGAGGGGCAGACAAAGTGCGTGGGGGTTTATAGTGAAAGCGGATAGGCGTCGATTGATGCAGCAAAGCCTGGCATTTTATATCACAATGTCTAGTTTGAGAATGGAGGTGGAGGTAGGTACTGCTGCCTTCCGGTAGCTTGAGAATCAGCTATACACACATGCCGTGATTGTAACTGACTCACAGAGCATGTTGAAATGGTGGGGACAGGCATGCTCCATGCAGAGTGGCAAGTATCACTTTAGAGGTCCTGAGTAGTTAGCATCCTTTGGAAATTTTCTATAGGTCCTGTTGGGAAATGAGCAGGCAGATAGACTGGCCACTTGGGAATGAACTGGTGTATGACAAGCTAGATGTTGTAAGGGCCCTTCAGGAGCGAGTAAACAGTGCAGTAGCACAGATAGATCATTACATTTTGAGGATAATGGCTGTGGGAGTAGTTACCAGGCGACGTGGCCGCCGCTCAACCCTCAAGGGAGAGCAAAACAGATATACAATCAGACAGTTACTGGTGCCGTAGGAATTGGAACTCTTTGCTTGCTGCTAAAGATAGGGGAGGGAGCACTTATGGTAGTGTCCCGAGTACTGTGATGTCGATTCTTAATTCAACAGTCAACATTCAACTCAGCAGTGAAAATCCAACTCAAACCCAACTGAAGAGTATTTACACCTCTGTTTGAACAACATTCTACTGCTTGGTTACAGAATGTATTGACTTTACAACATATCTTGAGATACCATTCTGGCATCTAAAGTATTTTACAACTAGTGCGGTGCAAATACTGATAGTAGAGTAGGAATTGGTCAACCTTCAAATAATCTAGGCTATGATATAAGTAAGTAGGATGATTAGTTCTCTCTTCTTGGCTGGATTTCCTCTCCAGCCAGTTTACCAGATTTTCTTAGCCATTTTAATTATATACATGAGTGTATTGTTTTCATTGAAATGGAAATTGTTTCTATGTTAAATTATTTGATGTAGGGATGTTTAGTTAAGACACCTCATCACTTTTGTAATAATGCTTCCTCATGTGGATTCCGAGTCCCATTGTGAGGGCAAAGACAGAATAGACCGACTGCTTTTCATAAGCATGTTGTAAAATCAAGTAATCAGGTGAGTTTTCTTCGAGGTCAAAGTGCATTTGTCCCAGAGGCAAGGAACTAGCAGTCTGCATACTAATAAGCCAGATCTGTAAAAATGGATGTATACGCAAAACTCAGGTTCTGGAACAAGACTGAAGTCCAGAAGTAAACGAACAACCTGAACTATCTGCCTGTGTTTACAGCCGATGAATGCCGAAGATATATTAATGCTAAAATTAGTTTTCATTTTTCTCAGTGCAAGTGATGTAAGTGATGAAAAAAAAAAATTGTTTTGCATGTTACATATTTATACTTCTTCTTCTCATCTCACAGGTGAAGTATCTCCAGTTCTTAAATTATGAGCAAGAGTTCAAATTTAATGTAACATCTGCCTTCGTCTACATTCGTCTAGTCAGCTTTGCCATCGAAAAGATCAAGTACACGAAATCTCAGACAACTCCATCATTTGTACAAGCTCAGATTAACTCTAAACCCGAGGAAGAGCTTAATTCATATAACACTGTTGCTGAAAATAAAGTGAAGAGAATCGCTGATTCTTGCAAAAAAAGGAAAACTAGTGTCAGCAATACAGACCCATCTAGCATTCGGGAAACAAATCCATGCTTGTTGGATTTCGATCCATCACTAATTGATTTATTGTTATACTCGTTCTACTTGCCAACATTTCTTGATGGGCCTATCTTTATTTATAGCGACTTTCACAAGCAGATAAACAATTCATTTAGATCTAAAACCTTTATTCCGAATACTAAAGACATAATAAAACAGCTGATCAGAATAGCATTTTGGGCACTGTTTATTGAATTTCAACTTCATTTTCTTTACTACAGTGCTCTTGCTCTACATCCCCTGATGATATCCAGATTACCAATCTGGGCCGTAGCAGCTATTGGTTACTGTCAGGGTCAGTTTTTTATGGTGAAATATTTAGTATTGTATGGGACAGCTGTCCAACTATCCAGATTTGATGGACTGTCTTCCATTGCAATGCCACGTTGCATCAGTTGGGTGTATTCATTTACAGATATGTGGAAGCACTTTGATGCAGGGCTGTACAGTTTCATCAAGATGTACATATACATCCCTTTGGGAGGTTCCAGGGCAGGTCTGCTGAGACAAATCTTTGCCTCGGGTGTGGCGTTCTTATTCATCTTCTACTGGCATGGTGCTAGGGAGGAAATCTTTATCTGGTGTTTTGGAAACTACCTCATGTGTATAGTAGAGGCTGCAGTGGCTGTCGTAAAACAATCCATTATAGGAACCAGACTGGTAAGTGCCATTTGTGAACAATTGATGTGTATGTGAAAAATGTGACTTTTTTAATGTTTATCGTGTTACTAGGGCTGTATGCAAGGAGAAGAACATTCACACCATAAGGTACCATGCGACGAGAAAGAGAATTCTTAGAATCCATAAAAATCTTATCTTGATATATGTAAGTAAATCATGGACAGTTGGTAAATTAGTGAAAACTTATTTGGAAGCTGCAGAGCTGTGGTTTTATAAACAAATGAGATAAAAAGAATAATAAAACTGACACACAAAGAGAACTGATTGCCCAAGTCAGAAAGAGACAGTCTACATTCTTTTATCATGTGAAGAAAAGGAGAAAACTGGAGTATGTCATGGCAGTTGGAAATCTGGAGGGGAGGAAAGGCAGAGGGAGACTGGGGGAAAAGATGCTGGACAGTTTGACATTATGGCATGGAGAATCATCTGTGTTGAAGTTGATTGAAAGGACACGAGACAGAAGGTTGGGGATAGACATGACTACCTACACCACATGGCTTGTACTTTGAGAAGAAGAATGTACCATGCATATTCTAAGAGGAATCCCCAACTGTGTTCTGGGACTGGTTTTGGGTAGAAAAAAAATAGCAGCGTTTCCTAACAGGTATGTCACAAAAGATGACTAAATAGGAATTTGCTGAAATCAGATTGTTAGTCTGAAAGTTGCAGTCTAGCTGTAAACCACAACATAATGTGCCAACCACTCTTTTAAGGACAAATAAGAAGAAGAAAAAAGTGAAAGGTAAATAGGAAGATATGGTGTGAGACTCACTAACTGATACCACAGAAAACTTTAGCTGCAGTATTCAGCCTACCTTGAACAAGTCTACAACCTACTCTGTGTTAGCTGGTTGAGAGCCGATTCTCTATTAGAAGATGACAGGCAGATGAAAGAGAGGGTGTTTCCTTCAAAGTCAGTGTGCATCTGCCTGAATGGTGAGGAACCAACAGTCTGCTTACAAATAAACAAGAGCTGTAAAACTGATGTGCATGCAAAACTAAAGTTCTGGTATACGATTAAGGTCCAGAAGTGGATAAACAAGCAGATCTGTCCACCAGAGTTTACAGTTTGTAGACGTGAAGAAGAAGATGATATTTAACACAATATGTTAACATGCACAAAATATGCCTTAAAAAGTCATCTTGAGATATTAAAACCATGCTGTAAGCAGGTACAACAGAATTGCATCGTTCAGACAAAAAACAAAACAAAAACAAAAAGACAATAATGTAACACTTGTCTCATATTTATTTTTGTTCAATATATTTCACCAACAGATATCTATTCTGAGTCCTGCCATGTGCCTGAGATTGAAAGCCATCACAATCTGCCCTGTATACTTTGCTTCCATCTTGCAAGTCATGTTCTTTTTCTTTCAAGGGGAAGTTGGCCGGATCTTCATGGCCAGATTACTTACTAAAGGTGATCATTTTGTGCTTGTTAGCAAGTTAATGTCTGATAACAATATAGTCATTTACAAAAGTCCACATTAGGGAAGGGCTGATTGTTTATAATATCCTGGGCAGTCAGATCAAGCCAGCTTAAAATTCATTCATTCTTCTTCTTTTTCTTTTTTAGCGTTCACCGGCTATAAACTCTGGCAGAAAGTTCTGATTCTTCAGCCACTTCTAGACTTTAGTCTTGTTCCAGAACCTGATTGTTGCGTATACATCAGTTTTACACATCTGACTTATTTGTATGCAGATTGTTGGTTCCTTGCCTCTCAGGCAGATGCACTCCAACTTTGAAGGAAGCCTCGTTAGTCTTATACATGCTTGTTCAGGAGGCAGGAGGTCTTTTCTTGTTTCCCCCCACAGTGGAGCCCTGGAACCCATACGGGGAATTCATTTATTTAATATTTTGTTGTGCCATGTCACACTCAATTTCTCCATTCCGTTCTATCTTGTGCAATCACTTCGCTATCATGGATGGAATCCAGTCCAGCACCCTTGGCCTCTCTCATCAGTGTTCGCCTTAGTATTTCTCTTGGTTATCCTTGTTTCCTCACTCACCTTTGTTTCTCATTTCAGTGCGTGTTTGGTGATTCTCTGTTCATCTCTTCTCAGGATATGTCTCATATAGCACCATCTTCTCTGTTTATGTTGATACTGGTGGATGCACAGACATCTCTCTTATTTCTTCACTTCAGCCTAAAATTGGTACCAGGAAATGGTCTAGGAAGTAAACTTTGCCAGCATGGTCTTTACCATTTCATCTTTTGAGTGTTATTTGGATCCAGAACCTTATGCCTTACATGCCAGCTATGCTAAAGGGTGGGGTCCTTTAATAATAATTTGGTTCACTGAAAAGTGGATTGTCTGACTTCATACAAATAAGACATACAGTTGCTCTGTGACCAAAAGGTCAAGCCATTTGCATCGCTCTGTAAAAGTCGTGAGTTTGCTTATGGCTGAGTTGTTTGGTTCACGAGTGTAATTTTTCCGGAAATCCCTGGGGTACATCACAAGAGCAATGAAATTCCTACTTCGTGCAACGCTTTTGCCAGGCGGCTGACTGTTCTATGGAGATGGAGCCTATGGGATAAAACCTGGTGCAATCAAGTCGATCCTCTCGATGTTAACTTTACAGGAAGAGCTGCAATATTAAAGTAGCTACCATGCTGGCCTGCCAACCATGGAAACATACATGTGTAATCAACTGTTTTAATATATTAATTTAATTTAAATTTGTGCCATCCCTAAAGTGGAGGTTGGTTGCAGTGGAATATTAGGGTGAGGTCCTAGTCTTTTCTGTGGTGCAACTCTTGTACCACTGTCCAAATACCATGAGAACAATCTTTTTGTAAACTGCCCTTTGAAGGAATCAAACCCCAGTACTCAAGAACTGTCAAACACTAACCTTTGTGCCACAGAGTTGTCTTTTGAGAAATAATAGCGTTTAATTACATCATCAGTAATTGTATTGGTTTCCCAAAGGAAACTACAGAGCTTGTCTTTACAGAAATGCCTAAACAATCAATCAGAAAGAAGAAATCTGGCCCACGGGAGTATCCCTACCAGATAAACTATGGGGCACTGGTGAAGATCTGTAGGGCACCATCCTGTTTATGATCCACATTGGAATAGACAATAGCAAACACTGTTTGCTTAAGAAGAAGAAATATTGTACAGCTCGTTTTTTACTCACCATTTAAATGCTTATCATAAAAAGCAGCACATATTGGTGTAATGATAATGAACAGTTTGACTTAAATATCAAAGCGTACATAATTGCTTTTTATTTTTAGATTAGACTAAAACGAATACTCGAGTTAACAGAATTTGACTTATCAGGATTTTGTATACAAAGACAAAGAAATGAAATGGCCGGGATTAAGCTTATTTCTTCGAATTAGAAAGGGTTAACTCATTGAGTTTTAACATACAATAGCAAGATATCCAATCTATAATCCTAAAGGATTGAATAAGAGATAATCTGTTTTATTATACATAAATGCAGTTTTAATATCATCACAGTTCAGATTGTATTAATTCTGTTACTTATGTGAATCTTAAAACCAAATTTTTTTTTTTTTTTCCTAATTATAAGAGTAATAATCTGTTATTTTCCCTTTTTCTACAGCTAATTGGACGAACCTTTTGGCTGAGCTGGTGTTTTTCACTGCTGGTATACACAATGCTCTATACATTGCCAGGAGGTATGAGCACAAGAATCAAAAATTAAATAGGGATCAATATAAGAAAGTAAAAGAACATGATATTTTGAGTAATGCCTGATAAAAGCAAATGTTAATGAATTTGTTATGTTGGGAAATGCCAGATGAAAAAATATTACGGAATATGTCATCTTTGGAAGTTTTCGTCAATCTTTTTACAGCCGTTGCCCACCAGAACAGGGGAAATTGTTTCATGTTTCACTGCCTCCCGGCCTGACAGCTAATCAAAAACAGAAAGAAAATCAAATGTAGATAGTTCCCCATGAGGGTTCCAGGGCCTTATTATAGGGAAAACAAGAATAGACCCACTGCCTATCTAAAACTATGTCATAAGAGTTGACTAATTGGGAGCTTCCTTCGAAGTTGGAGCGCATCTGCCTAAGAGGCAAGGAACCAACAGTCTGCAAACAAAATAGTCAAATGGATACACACGCAAAACTAAGCCTCTAGAACAGGACTGCAGTCAAGAAGTGGACAAACAGCTAGAACTTTCCGCCGGAGTTTACAGCCGGTGAACGTGAAGAAGAAGAAATGTGGATAGCAGTTTATGAAATCTGATGTGACAAAATGACAATTTTCAGCTAATGCCACATCTAATGCTGTTTAGAGGTTAGAAAATCTGATATACGTACAGCAATATCTGTTTAATTTCTCTGTTTGCTTTTAAAAAAAATTGACATGGCTAAGGCAGTATTTGCACACAAATAGGAAGATTAACAAAACAAAAAGACCAACAATCTTCTTCGTCTTGTGAGTTGACCGACTGTAAACTCAGACAGAAAGTTTTGGTTGTTGGTCAACCTCCAGATTTTAGACTGGTTCCAGAACTTAAGTGTTGTGTGCACATCTAATTTACAGATCTGACCTTTTTTTTGGTATGCAGACCATTGGTTCCTTGCCCCACAGGCAGATGCATTCTGACTTCAAAGCAAACCCCCAGTTAGTCCCCTCTTAGGACATGCAGATTTGGGAAGCAGTGAATCTATTTTTGTTTTTCCCCACTATGGGGCTCTGGAACCCACACGGGGAGCCAACAGTCTGATAGCTTTATAACTCAGAGATGAATATTCTGTTTCGAGGGATATCCAAAACTGAGACAATGATGAGTTTGTCTGATACAAGAGTGACATTAGAAGAAATCTCTGTCCGCTTTTCATTTCATGATGATCAGGTGCACATCTTCTTCTTCTTCACTTCCTCTTTTACCGCTGTGGGTGTCGAGGGAGATATAAGGTTCTGTTTCTAGCTCTTCTGGCTGCCTCAACCATAGGCACATCGTGCTGTTGTAGAGTTTCTCTGATGTTATCCTTCCATCTTGTTCTTGGTCTATCCCGTGCTCTATGTCCTTCTTCTCTTTCCATGTATGCTTTGTATGGTATGGTGTCACAAGGCATTCTCTCTTAGTGGGCAAACCATTTCACTTGCTGTCTTTGTATGTAATCCAGAATTGGTTCTGTGCAGACTTGTTCTCTTATGATTTCATTCCTGATCTTATCTTTTATGGTCACTCCTACAGCCCTTCTCAGACATATTTTTTTTTTTAATGGTTTGTTGTGAGTGACCATGTCTGGCACTGGTAGCACAGAGTTGGAATAAATATGCTTTGAATAAGATGTCTCTTTGTGCTGATTGGGATTATCTTATGCTGTAAGAGGGGGGCTAGCTGTCCCAATACTTGGTTTGCTTTACTGCATCTAATGTCAATTTCTTTATCCAATTTCCCATCTTCGGTAAATGTAGTTCCCAGATATTTAAACTCAGATGCCTGTTTAATGTCTTTGTATTCTATTGCTATGTTTAGATCTGTCTTCTTTTTTCCTATTGACATTACTTCTGTCTTTTCAGTGTTGATTCTCATATTATTTGTTTTACATTCTTCATTCATGGATGTTAGATGTTGTTGCAATTTCATGGCTGTATCTGCTATCAAGGCCTGGTCATCTGCAAAGAGTAATTCGTTGATCTTACTAAGATCTTCATTCATGGGCTTGGCATTCTTGCATATACTGTCGATGTAGGTGATAAACAGCAGTGGTGATAAGACACACCCCTGTCTTACTCCAGATGTCACTGTAAACTGCACATCAACCAGTCTATTCCTTCTTTTCTTCTTCTGCGTTCGACATCAGTCATGCTAAACATTGAGTCCCGTCTGGGTCACAAATAGGATTGTGCATTTAAGGTCGTCACCGGTCCCCGATAGCTTCTCTTGCAATGTGGCTACCTTGGGCCAGATCCACAGTCTTTGCTGGGAGAGGTTAGGGCAGTACTGTAGTATGTGCTCAGGGGTCTGTCTTTCTGCTCCACAATCACAGGCAGCAGCTTATTTTATGCTGTCTATTCCAAAAAAGGAATTAATAATCCAAAGGTTGCCGACTGGCTGACTGACTTTCTACCCCACCAAGACATCACACAAGCGATAAACACCCGATGACACAAAGTGCAACCATGTGGATGAGAATCACCGTGGAGAGGTCTCAGAAACCACGTTCAGCCTTTAGGCCATATTTATGGCCAGGCTATATTGCGACCTCTAGCAAAAGCTAGAGTAGGGCTTCAAATAATGAAAAATTTCATCCTAAAAAGGACAACATGTATTGATAAAGGTTGCCTTTATGAGGATCCTCTTGTCAGGGAAATAATAGTCAAAGTTTTTAGATAACACTTTTAAATATTGACTTATTGTTCCGAATATTACTTCCTTGGTGACATTAAAAAAAAAATATTTCCAAAAGTGGAGGCATTTCTATCTTCCTTTTCTATGTGGCTTTCCTAGAGAGGTGTCTTTTAGTTTAAATGCATCCAATAAATGTTTAAGGGTAAAAAGGTTTGTTTAAGTCCCCTGAAGAGAAATTTTAAGTTAATTAAGGAAGCTCAATATGTCTGCCATATATGCCAGCTTTCCCATCCATTCTTCACATAACCAAGACCCTACAAGGTCAAATATTAGCAAGTAAGTTTGGAAAGCAATGTACGCAAGGGGCCAGGAAGGTTTTACCTGAAGGTTGGAGACCACTGACCTAAAAGGTACTGGATTTAGCTGTGAAAAGCCTGTAGAAAACGGCTGGAAAACACAAATTATGTGTCACTTGAAAAAAATTGCAGTTAAAATAAAGCATGTGGCAATAAACTTTTGTCATAAATAATATTTTGTAAACCTGTGAAATAGAAATGAGCAAGCACAATGAACTCAAACATGTAATCAAAGCAATGTTTTCCAATTGTGAATTTGAACAAAGAAAACACAAACAATAGATTGCACAATTTATTGCCTGTAGATAACTGAGAATTGTGGAAGCCACCACTATAAACCGGTTTAGTCCAGAATTATGCAGAAACAAGGATATGTTCTTTACCTTGAGTTTATCCTGGTGAAATAGACAGTTTTTTTTTATGTAGTCGATTTGTGTTTCATGTCGAAGGATTCATTTATTTGCTTCATTTTATTCAATTGTTACTGTAGAATGCACCTAATGAGATACAGCGATCCCCGTGTGGGTTACGGGGCCCTACTATGGGAAAAACAAAAATAGACCCACTGCCTACCCAAAAGCATGTCGTAAGAGTCGACTAATTGGGAGCTTCCTTCGAAGTCGGAGTGCATCTGCCTGAGAGACAAGGAACCAACAGTCTGCATACAGATCTGTCAATCAGATGCACACGCAACACTCAGGTTCTGGAACAGGACTGCAGTCTAGAAGTAAACAAACAACCAGAACTTTCCACCGGAGTTTACAGCTGGTGAACGTGAAGAAGAAGAAGATACAGCGAAATATGCCAGGCAATAAATTGTTCAGTCTTTTGTTTGTGTCTTCTTTGTTCAAGTCGTCCCCTTGTGGGATGCAATTTTTTGTTTTTTGAAGCCCCACCCTGGCTTCTGCCAGGGGCCCTGAATATAAAGATATGGCCTAATGGCTGGAAGGGGTTTCGGAGACCTCTCCATGGGTGATCCTCATCCGCATGGTGGCACTTTGTGTCACCGGGTGTTTATCGCTTTTGTGATGTCCTGGTGGGGTACAACTACATACCTACCTACCTTCTTTGTTCAAAATATGTAATGCCCAACTTAATGGGCATTTATCTTCATGTCTTACAATTTTTTACATTTATAATATGCAAATGTAAAATTGTATATATTTATATGCATGTATGTTCTCATATGTATCGATGTTTGTGAACAGGTGTGTATGTGTGTGTATACATCAATCAGCAGGCACTTTGCAGAACATCACTTTCTTCATGGCATGCCTGAAAGTCTCTCTTTCTGTAGCAAATTCTACAGCCCTATGTGCTTTGATAGCCATTGCATCTTTGGTATCCTGTTTCCACCTTCATGGACGTCTGCTTCTGCCTCATTTTCCTGAAACTGTACGCTCCATCGTCATTCTATCTAGCCCATCATGCCGTTTTATCATGGCCTGTTTATGATGCTGTTTATGATTCAGTCAAATTGCATAGAATGTCAGTGTTTTTCTTCTTGGTTCATGGTATTCTAGTTATTAACATAAAAATGTTATGTATGTATGTGTATGTTTGTGAATAGGTGCATCAGTGTGTGTATACATCAGTCAGCACTTTACAAAACATCACTTTCTTCATGGCACACCTGAAAGTCTCTCTTCCTCCAGCAAATTCTCCAGCCCTGTGTGCTTTCATAGCCAGTGCCTTTTAATATCCTGTTTCCACCTTTTTGGACATCTGCTTCTGCCTCGTTTTCCCAACACTGTAGCCTCCCTCGCCATTCTCTTTTGCACGTGATGTTTTTCACTGCCAAAATACCTCAACTTTTGGGACAGGATGTTGTTTGTGATTCAGTTCAGATCCTGTAGAATGTCAGTGTTTGTTCCTCTACTTGATCCATGGTATTCTAGTTATTACCATAGACATGTTATATACATATGTTTACACGTGTATGTGGATATTTTGGAGTAGGTAAATATGTGAGTGTATACATACACATAAATAACACAATATGCTTTCTGCTTTGCAAGGGACTCTAGCGTTAAATAACCAAAAGAACAAACTAGATAGACAGTCACAATCCCGTCATACCTGGTGTTAACAACTTAAAATGTTTACAGTTTTGTTGTTATTATATCTACTTTTGTACAATGTTACCGTTTTTGTATTTTATTTGTATATCATGAAATCTCAGTGACTTTTATATTACTATATAATTTATATATTAAATATATTTATAGGAGAACCTCTAACCTTTTCGGTCACACTAAAACTTTTACTCAGTTCATTTATTTCATTGTGGCCCCAGATACTGATTTCTTCTATACATATCAGTTTGTGTAATTATTTTGCTGCATTGTTAAAATATTACAGGTAAATCTTCAGAAAGATTACAGGTTTTCCTTGATGCCAGTGTGTTTTGTTGCTGTGTTTATTGTACAGTAATTCTCAGGCTGAGCTGTTTTTTTACGTGACAATATCAGTACTAAACTAATAAGACTAAGGGTAAAAGATAAAGGTAAAGTTGGGAGATGTGAACCAGAATCCTTGCACACGGTTATAAACCATAAGTGCTCTGCCACCAGAATGGACAGCTGATAAGAAACTCTCCGCCTGTGTCGCCGTCCGCACTCAGCTATGTAGCTACAGCAACGTTCCTTCATTTACCCCAGATTGTCACTCTGGTACCCATTACCTAGAGGCTGGGTGAAACCTCGGGACCGTCCGGTTTTGCTTGGAGTTACAGCTGGATTTGAAAGTGAGTCTCCTATCGACTGCGCTAATGCAGCCCCAGCTAAGGGAGTAGAACGTAGAACTTATGGGTTGCTACCCTTGTGCCATGATGTTGATCTGTTGTTTAAACCTAAAACCTAGAACATAAGACTTAAGTGGGTCAAGAAAGGCTAAGACTTTTCTAACATAAGTACTGAAAGACTTGAGGCTATCTTACATGTACACTTGAATGCGTACCTAAAAAATATAGAGTTTTAGTTGATATCCTCCTTGTGTGGGTTCTGGACCCATGTTGGAGAGAAAATAATAGACTCAATGCCCCCCTAATAAGCTTGTCGTAAACAGTAACTAATGTGCTTGATTTTTGGGGGCCAACCAATACTGCTCAATCTGGAAATAAAGTATACTATGCCTTTCAACATCTGCTAAAATCAAAGGTTTCTGTCTCGCAACACCAAGATCAAAATATATAAAACATTGATAAGACCAGTCGTTTTATAAGGCTGTGTGAAATTTGGAGCACAACTAAAAGAGATGAAGCCTGCCTTATTACAGGTTTTTGAAAACAGAGTCTTATGACGAATCTTTGGACCCATGAAAGATGCAAACAGTGGTAAATGGAGAGTGGGGAGCAAGAACGAAATTCATAATCTGTTTAAATCACAACTGATCACTGGCATCATGAGAGCTAACAGACTGAAATGGTTGGGGCGTATTGAAAGAATGTCAGATGACAGAGAAGTAAAAACTGTATACACGAGAGAGAATAATGGTCGTAGGCCACGAGGGAGACCAAGAAGAGGATGAAGAGATATATCCAGACAGACCTGCAAACACTTGGTGTCATTAACTGGAAAGAGAAGGCCAACTAGAGAGATGAATGCAGGCGGGTGACGTCTGCAGCAATGAACCTCAAGGGCTCGGAATGCTGAAGAAGAACAATATGTTACTATTTCCAAAATACAGTATCTTTTATGAGCCAGTTTTCTTCTATATTTAAGTAACGTAAAGTAAATAAGTCGGCGTCTGTGGCTTAGGCGTCGCGAATGCGCATCGTAATTCCGAAGTACCCAGTCCGATTCCATCTGCAGGCCATTTGGTGGCAGTCTATCTTGGTTGATTTCATGGGTGTGGAGAACCGACTGCACAGTTGCCAATGCTAAACTAATGAACATAAAATTGCTGAGTAAAATCAAAACAGCCAACAAATGTTGAGGCTGTTTCTGCAACGTCCCGTAAACGATACGCGACCAACTAGGCCCCCCCTCCCCCGCCAGCAGCGTACTGGGAATATAAAGCTTGGCCCTATGTTTATAGACCAATCGTCACTCGATGGGTGATGCGATCAACATCTGGCCGCCGCTTTTACTTTCCTGGACTTTCCCTGGTACCCCCTATAGGTTGAGTCTACCTCCTTATGTGGGTTCCGGGGCCCTGTTATAGGGAAAACAAGAATAGACCCACTGCCTACTCAAAAGCATGTCGTAAGAGTTGACTAATTGGGAGCTTACTTTGAAGTTGGAGTGCATCTGCCTGAGAGGCAAGGAATCAGCAGTCTGCGTACAAATTAGTCAGATCTGTCAAACTGATGCAAATGCAACACTCAGGTTCTTTAACAGGACTGCAGTCCAGAGGTGGATGAACAACCAGAACTTTCCGCCGGAGTTTACAGCTAGCGAACACGAAGTAGTAGTAGTAGTAGTAGTAGTAGTAGTAGTAGTAGTAGTAGTAGTAGTAGTAGTAGTAGTAGTAGTAGTAGTAGTAGTAGTAGTAGATTTGTACCCCACTAGGACATCACACAAGCGATAAACACCCGATGACACAAAGTGCCACCATGTGGACGAGGATTACCGTGGAGAGGAAAACCCCCTTCAGCCATCGACCATATTTATGGTCGTGCTATATTGCGGCCCCTGGCAAGATCTAACATGAAGAAGACGAAGAAGAAGAATTATACAAATTCCCCATCGTTACGGATTTGAGACGTAAACCTCAGCTACTGCGCTTCTACAGCTCTCTCTTCTATCTTTAGAGCTTGTTATATAGACTCCGAATTGCATTATTTGCTAACTTAATGCTAAAATGGTCTAATCTTTACCAGGAACGCGAGTTTATTCCATATATTGACTAAAATTGCGTCTACTTTGTCCATTTACCGGTAATACAGCAGTTGCTAATGTGAACTGCAGTATATTTACATTAAGCACACCAGTTGGCCTTTCTCATGAGTAAAATTACAAAATTCTATGAATGGCAAAGTAATATTTTCACACACACTTATAGCAATTATTTGTCTTCATATTTACACTATTGGTAATGATAATTTGTCTAAGTAAATTAAGTGCACAGTGCGAGCTGGTTAATAGGAAATCTGTAACGAAACTCATGCGGTGTCCGAGAAAATATTGCTATTTGATTGTCTCCTCTTGGTAGCGATTATGTAAGCCGAGTTTATTTGTTCGCTTTTTGTAATACTTGTGATAACGTGAATAGTTAAGAACGATTAGTATTTGCTTTTGAATAATTAATTAATTATACTTTAAGCAGCCAATAATATGCATTTGTTTGCACAACTATTACTGGGGACATTATAATTAACTGTGGGTACGTTTGCTATCATTTCATAAATATTTCTTTTGAGTTCAGACATGCACTCGTCTCAAATATTGTCCGTAATAATTCGCATTGATAATAATTATGATTTTATTTTCGATTATATTTATAATATTTTACAAAAGCTCATGTCGCTTCTTCGTCGTCAGTTTTCAATTACATTTTATTGAAGAGTAAAGACTAGTAGTTGCCTTAAATAGTTTGAGAGTTAGTTTCAGTCCGAACACGGGACAATATTATGAGAGTAGTTCGAGTCATAAAGTATTAAGCAATATATATAATCTGTGTTTTTTCCCCATTCAGACAACATGAAACATAATAGTCTGAAAGTTGTTCCATTCAGACAACATACTGCATATCAGTCTGCAAGTTTCTTCATTCAGTAAACAGATAGCAAAATAGTCTGTGAGCTGTTCCATTCAGATAATAGATCACAAGGCTGTAAATTATCTGTTCTATTCAGACAAAATATAGAAAAATAATCTGTGATTTGTTCTATTCAGTAAACATATAGCAACATAGTCTGTGAGACAAAAGACAGCAAAGGAGCCTGTGAGTAACAGATAATCAGCAAAACTTTGTGAGTATTTTCAGTCAGACAATAGGTAGCAAAATAGTGTTTGATAAGTTCTTGTCAGACAACAGACATTGACGAGATAGTACCTGTAGGAAAAGAGATGATAGTAGTTTCAGTCTCAACAAAGAAAATTACGACGAGAGTAACTCCAGTCTAAACACGGGAAAGTAGTGTAACTGACGTTTGATTACAAAAGGAAAAATGACCACCTCTGATTCTCACATTGCAACTTTTATCTACACAGATAGTGTCATGATGCTGAGACAAGATTTAATAAGCGACGAGCTGTTTTTCACAATAATGTTTATTAATATGGGAATCATTTGCCAGACTATCTCACTTTTAGGAACAATTGCTAACATAATTAACACAACAGTCTTCATCAAACAAGGCCTATCAGACGCCACCAATATCTGTTTGCTGGCACTAACTATATCCGACTTATGTTCGCTAATCACTATCATGTGGACTAACGTCTGCTACACTCCCGCCTTCAGAGACTCCGAAGTTTTCTTGATCTCCTACGAGGTTCAGCTCATCAGCGGAATCTGGCCTCACGTAATATTTACCCGGACAACTGGCTGGATTACCGCGTTTATTAGTCTTCAAAGATGTGTCTGCGTCATTCTCCCGCTAAAAGTCAAAATCATTTTTACTACAAGACGACATATCATATCCATGGCGGCTATATATGTTGTAACATTAGGCTTAGCTGCTTTTGCCTACTTCTCTTTAGGCCTTGGGTGGAAATTTGATCCACTGAAAAATCACACAGCAATTGGTCTTATTTATTACATGGACCCAGCAAGGAGAACAATTGTGGATCAGATATCGTATGGAATTAACGGTGTTTTCATGCCGATATCATGTTTCCTATCAGTGGTAACATGTACGGTGATACTAGTGGCCAAACTAAACCAACAAGCAGCTTGGAGAAATGCAAGTGCTGCAGGCAACTACCAGGCAAAAGAGAGTTCCAGTAATGAAAGCAGTATGGCTTCTAGGGACAAGAAAGCATCGAAGATGATTATACTTATCAGCTCCATGTTTATTTCCTGTTTTATTCCTGCGGTTTGCGTGTTTATTGGTGGCTGTGTGGAGCCTGGCTTTACTTACGACGGGGAATATAAGAACATATTTTTGGTGACATTGTCCGTGTCTTTCATAACAGAATCAATCAATGCCAGCAGTACTGTTATCATTTATTTTACCGCCAGTACCAAATACAGGAATACCTTTCGCGATATTTTCAAGTTAAAATGAGCATCTTTGTTTCAACATACAAATTAAACTGCATGAAATAAAATTAACCAAAACGAGAAGTGAAACTAGTCAGTTTCCTAATAAACCATAAATACGAAAGACAAAATTAACGTTGTGGTTAGAAAGCCTTCATCAGCATCGAAAAACACAAACAATGACACAACTTCATGACAGGCTACATAAAAATACGTAGCTTAGCGGATGAAACCAACACTGTGTTGAAATGTCAAGCCACCGTTGAAATAAAAGGCTTTCTGAAACGTGAAAAACTAAGAACAGGCCTTTCTCGTCGACAGACAATAGACAGCTAGTGAATACACTTCACAGCAGTGACCCTTTGATATGTTTTCTAAATATCAGAACGATAGCGATGTTATTTGCGGTTATATTATTCTGTGGTCTAGTGGCTGGACGCATCGGAAGGTCGTGGATTCGGGTCCTGGCAAAGCCGAATTTTTCTTTTCAAAAATGACTTTGGCTGCCAAGTCGACCCAGCCTTGAGTGGGTACCAGATGCAGTCATGCAAAGTATAGGCGGTCGGTGTGATGATGACCACATCACCCACGGAATGCCGATTGGTCTACACAATTTAGGTATGGTACTTTATGCTCTCAGAAGCACAGATGGGCTTTCGACGAAACAGAAGTTGCACAGAGGCCATAATACATTGAGACAGCTATCAGAGAGGGCAATAGAACACGATAAGACATGTTTGTTGACATTCATAGACCAAGAAAAAGCCTTTGATAGAGTCGACAGGAATATGTTGTGGGAATGTATGGGGAAAAAGGGAATCAGCAATCATCTCATTAATATTTGCAAAAGCCTGTACACAACTAGTAAATGCTGCATAAGATCGAAGGCAGGGTTGTCAGGAACTTTTATAGTGAACTCTGGTGTGCGTCAGGGTTGTGTACTATCGCCGCTTCTTTTTATAACTTACATGGATACCATATGTAGCGAAACGAACTTTAATCATGAAGAAGATTTTACAGAATTACTATTGGCCGACGACCAAGTACTCATTGCAGAAAATACGGAATGCCTACAGAACCACTTAAATCAAATTAGTAACAAAGAGGAGGAATATAATATGAAATAAACACTTCGAAGACAGAGACAATGATGAAGACAAAAAGACAATTTAGAAATCCAAATAAAAAACAACGCCCTGAGACAAACAGAGGAATTTAAGGATTTGGGAGCAATTTTCACATCCGACCCCAAAACTGAACAGAGAAATTCGCTCCAGATATACTAAAGCTAATCAAGTAATGGGGCAACTATCTCCCCTATTGACACGCAAGCAGATACCTCGGAATACTAAAGTGAATCTTTTCAGAACTATTTTCTGGCCAACATTATGCCATCAATGCCAAACGTGGACACTTACATCCTCCTATGAACGTAAAATTGTGGCAACAGAGATGAAATGCCTTAGAAGAGCTGCAGGAGTTTCAAGGAAAGACAGAATACGAAATCATTAAATCAGACGAATGCTAGGAATAAAGCCAGTCTTACATGTCATCAAAGAACAACAAATGAAGTGGTTTGGACACCTAACAAGAATGCCCTGGTACTGTCTGCCACAGCGAGCCACACTGAAACGTTACAACGGGTGTAGATCGAGTGGAAGACCTCGGAAAATATGGAGTGATGGCATTAAGAACAGCCTTACAGAAATGAACATCAATCTTAATAGTGCTCTTGACAGAGCACATCAACGAACATTACATCTCCCCCCGACACTTCGATGAGGTACAAGGTGGAAGAGAAGAAGAAGAAGAATAAGAAGAAGAAGAACTCTATGTCCAGTACCTCTGAAGGCGTGAACAGGGGTCCTTTACTTTATTTTTTAAATCTTCTATATTATTGTGTTTACGTCGAACACTTTCCGGACGTTTTCACGATACTGTAGGAAGCAACCAAACACAAACCAAACTACACCTGTATGAATTATAAAGCTTCACGGAGAAAACTCACAAGATGCGCATAACTACCACTGAACAGTTCTAGAGCGGAGTCTTTGTACACCGACAAAACAAAAGACTAATTAAACAACCGACAAAAACAAACGTCTGCTACTAACGTCAATGTGGAAACGGAGATACGCAATAGATGAAAATATTACCAGGAAGAGCTTTTAGGAAAACACACACACACACACACACACACACACACACACACACACACACACACACACACACACACACAAGTAGGCTAGGTGAAAAAAAAAGGGGGGGGGGGGTGGGGAATTATAAAAACATCACAAAACAAATTCTAAACAAAGGTAACGAATTAGATGAATGGTATGCTGAACATTGATCCTTGCAGATTTGGAATGGTATAGTATATTCGTGGATGCTGAGTTAGTACATTTGCTAAATGCTTGCTTACTGACCTGAAGGTCGTAGATTCAGATGTTTATCGTGGCGTATATTTTCCTTAAAAATTGCACAGGGTTATAAACCATAAGTGCTCTGTCCCCAGAACGGACAGCTGATGAGAAACTGTCCGCCTGTGTCGCCGTTCGCACGTAACTCTGTAGCTACAGCGAAGTTCATCCATTTACCCCAGAGTGTCACTCTGGTACCCATTTCCTAGAGGCTGGGTGAACCCCGGGAACCGCCCCGTTTCGAACACCGGCAGTGGACTGCAACGAGTCGCAGCTGGAATTAAAAGGGAATCTCCTATCGACTGCGCTAACATGGCTCCCCGCGTAGAGCCATTCAGCACAGAAGGGCTCAGATTCTCTAACCAATATCGGACTCTCACACTTCCCCCTTTTCTACAGACATGTAGCAGCAGATGACTGCATGTCTATGTTAGTTTACTATTCTTCTGTTTTATTTCAACCATACAAGCGGTCTTCTCTAGGATCATTCATTGTTTTTTACTTGCTTTTTAATCTCTGCATTCACCGTAAATTCGGTCTAACAAGGTCTCAGGAATGATCACGAATATATTGTAATGTAGGTAAGTAGGCAGTTGTACCCCACCAGGACATCACACAAGTGATAAAAAAGTGCCATCATGCGGATGAGGATCACCCCTGGAAAGGTCCCAGAAACCCCTTTCAGCCGTTAGGTCATATTTTAGACCCGGTTGTATTTAGGACCCCCGGCAAAAGCCAGGGTGGGGCATAAATTAACGAAAAATTGTATCCCACATGGGGATGACTACTCTGATTCAAAGTAATATACGATATCGGTGCAAATATAGCGAGCTGAATATTGCTAGTTTACGTGCTAATAATGTCGGCATCTTCGAGTCAGTTCAAATATAATAATTAAATAGAAATTGTTTTCAACAAATGGGTTAACATGAATATAGCAAACAAATATCAAACAGGACTCGCATAGACACATGATTTTTGTCGAAACGAACTACTACAATGCGAATCAAAGAAAGTCACCTATGTTATTTCATCTTCAGAATACCATAAACCGTCACTGTTCTCATTTAATTTGATATCTAGTATTGTTTAGCTAGGCTTTCAATTGTTTATTACGTATTCAGACCTCATATGTAAGCGACACGAAGACGATAACACTTTCATTGTTTACTGCAATAACGAAGTTATATTCTACTACAAATTAAAGTAAAAAGTACACATTAAAAATAAAAATATCACACAAAATAGGTACATTAAGAAATGTGACATGATGAACAGATTAATCTTCTATTAAATCAAACATTAATGCAAGCTATGCAACATTCATATAATATTCAAAAGACTGTTGAACAACATTTTAAAGGAAGTCAAGAGATGTCCTCAGAATATAAAAGATCACTTGAGATCACAAGTTTAGAAAAAACTTTATTTTTCTTAAAGACTATTTTGAGTTGTATTCTTTACTGATCTGGATATTTTGCTGTTTCCGAACTTATTTACAGCATTATTGAATCTAACATGAAGGGGAGAGTAAATAAAACAGCGTTTCAAAATTATCCACACACACACACACAAAAAGTAATAATAATAATTGCTAATCAGATAGCCACATATTACAATATTATGATTACCATGCAGTCGATTAGTATTCATTGGGAAATATATTACAATGGCGACATAGGCAATCTGGCAATGATTCCACCAGTAGACACAGCACCATGTTCAGCATCCAAAAGCAACAAAAGAACAATAAAAACACTAAATATAAAAGAGACAGATTGTCTGGATGCATCCTTTAGGGCAATGAGAGAATCTTGTCTGGATGGATCATTTAAGACAATCAAAAAAGTATAGTTCTGGTCCCAAAGACGTCAATAATAACATCAAGAAATGACCAGACAGCTATTTTGACTTAGATCACAACGTGTAGCACTTGACAACCGTCTGATTCAGCCTCATGACATAGTTGTCTAGTCAACATATATCCATTCGATGATTGTCAAATAACGCTTCTTTAAGTATGCAGCTCTTGTAAATATAAGGTAAAATCTTATTTCCACCAGTTAAAGGAATGGAATACTTTAGAATGAACAAAACAACAGCTGACAAACACTTGCTTGTATCAATTCATGACCTTGTGTAAAATGACGAGAACCCAGGCGCCGGCGGATGATTAAAAATAACACAAGTGATAACAAAAACAACACCAACAGCAAAGACATAATTTATGTACACCAACGAGATCCAAAGTATGAAACTTTACACTGATTTTGACTTTGAAATACGGTAGAGGTCTTCAGAAGATTGTAAACCAATGGAGGAAGTATTAGGCGAATAATTTGGTTTAATGAATGGAGACCTTGTTCGGTAAATTAACACATGCTACAATAAATTGACGTATAGTTACATGAATGCAATATAATTGTTGTTACTTATAGGCCGTTCTGGGCTGTAAAAGATGAAGTTCACAATCGCTGTCCAAGAAGTGTTGGGTAGATTGAGCTAAAAGTTAACTTACACTTGTACTGGTACTTTACAAGTTAGGAAAAAAAAACACCCCCATAGGATTAAACTACACGACAGGATCAATGTTCAGCGGATATTAAACAAGGTCATATGGTCGTAACTTGAGTAGCACTGTCTACGATAGTGGCGTTGGTTGTCGGGTCCACATTTGTTTTTTCAGCCAATATAATCAACTAGGAGCCACGGAAGCGGAACCTCACATTGGTAGGCTGGTTGACCGGATCATCCATCGAGTGCCCACCGATTTATGAAAGTATAGTTCTAGCCCTATATGCCTGAATCGCCAAAGGTATGAAGAATACCTTTTACTTGTTAAAATATATCGAACCTATTTAACATTTAATATAAAGTAAACTTTCTTAATCCCTTTTCAAAATTAATTTAAACATATAAAAATGCACATGAAGACAACGGAAATGTTTCTTTAGATGAATAATACAGATTTAAGTCAAATTTGAGCTACTTGGATACTTAAATATCTGTAGTTCACAAGAGGACAAACTGAATTAGTACAATAACCATTTACTTTAACTGCCCCAGTTGCATCTCATCATTAAGCTGCAATTTTTGATGTACTAGAATTTACAACTTCTGCTATTAAAATAACTATGGCTCTACCTTCAACCGAAGCGTTTGATTTAAATTTCCAAGAGTTTCATCATCATCAAATTGATAAGTAAAAACACAAAATTATATCTCAGAGTGAAGATCTATATGTCTGTTAAAAAGCTATGTGTTTTTTTTTAATAGTTGTCACAGGGCCATGATATTCTGAAACAGTGAATGGTCTTGTAAAGTTCCAAGTGATTAAAATAGTGTCTTAAAGAATTATAATGTCACACTCATATTGATCTTTTCTTTCCAAGATGTGTGTGTCACTTATAATTTCTTCTTGGCGTTCACCGGCTGTAAATTTCACCGGAAAGTTATGGTTGCTCATCCACTTCTGGACTGTAGTCTTGTTCCATTTTACAGATCTAGTGTATTTGTATGCAGGCTGTTGGTTCCTCGCCACTCATGCAGATGCACTTCGATTTCTAAGGACATAATCCTTACCAGTAGACTCTTACTATATGCTTCTTAGAGGGGCAGTGTGTCTTTTCTACCCCCTCCCCGGTATAATAAGGCCCCGAAACCCACAGAGGGATGTCAGTTATAACGATTATAAAAGACCGCATCCCAACTTATCTCTTTTATGAGGTCCTTAACCGCACAGGACTGCATGTTGCATGCCCCTAGTGTAGCTGTGACAGAAGGAAAATAGTCACGACAGAAATGAGATGTTTATGTACTATGCAAGGAGTAACGAAAAAAGTTAGACTCACGAACAGTGATATCAGGAAGAGAGTCGGCACAGAACCAATACTGAATCTTATAGGTAGACACCAAATCAAATGGTTAGGCCACATAACGAGAGTGGCATCAGACAGGGCACCACAGAGAGCGGTGTTATTCAGATACAGCAATACCAGAGCCAAAGGTCGACCAAGCAGAACATGGAACGAAGAAATATCAGAGACACTGAAAAGTACTATACACAAAGCGAACAAAAGGTCAGTTCCAAAGATATCTCCCTGCCCTGACGCTGCGTGTGGAGAAAACGAGAAGAATGTGCAGCTGTTAAGAGTACCCTAATTATTACTTCTTTGGAAGCTGAACGGGGTATCACGGAATCTCCCTTGTCGATCTGTCCTCTAGTCTGACATCTTTTTAAATCGCAGGATGGTACGGTAAACTTCGAGGTAGCAACCCGGAGCGGAACAATCTGATCGGTCGATCGATGGAGTGTATCATTCATTTCAACAATCTAATTAGTTAGGAACCAACGACAAATTAAAACGACAAATTAAAACCGTACACACGCTCCCATTTAGATACTGCATGTGGAATGGAGTGAGAAAATTGAAAACATCTATCACAATTTATCAAAATCTTTGATATTAGCAACAGAGATTTTAAACACTATTATATATGGTTTGGATTATATCTTAATTATTTGCTTATGATAATAAAAGTTTATATCTTAGCAAAATATTTAGTTGAGTTGTTTTTTTAAAGCAAAAACATTTGTATTGTAATCTGTTATATCTATATACTCATCCAAAAGCTAAGTTCACTTCTATAGTGTGTCACATTTTGCCTCAGAGGTATTTGTTTTGTGTCGCGAGCCATTTTAAGCGTGTTTTGTTCAAATTGTGTAGTTATGAGCATGTGAATAAATTTATATAAGTAAAATATTTAATTAAGTATTTTAAAGAAATTCTCAACTACTTGTGCTCTGTATTCTTTCATGTCTATCTATTCAGCGAAAAGCTAAACTCACTTTCATGTGCTGTTTCAGATTGTTAAGTTTTGTATGTGTCATGAATTACCTCACTGTATTCTTTGTGCGCCGTATTTATTTGGCATGTTTAAGTTTTTGTATAATGTAGATTAATTGAATCAAAACTAATCATACTGGGTGTATTCGAAATTACCAATTATTGCTAGGTATAACTAAAAATTGCAGAGCTACTAATAGTTTAAATGTAATCTTATGTGAGAGAAAAACAAATGTTAGTTGTTAAATGTCAACGATTAAATTTACCAACATCTGGTCGTTCCGTCTGGGTTAAATCTGGTATAAATCAACAAGCTTCAGTAGGAGAGTGTTAATAACTATTATTAATTATGACCATATACCGTTAATTATATTTTAGTTCAGGTAAGAAAAGTACAGCAAAAATGGTGAGATAATGACGTACCATACTGTAGCAAAAGCTGTCAAAGTTACTAATTAGTACTTTAAGTACTGTAATCATCAGGTGGTGGGATGTATTTTAGTTTTCATTTTGAGTTTGTAGTCGAATATCACCAGGAGATAAATATCGGTTTCTCACTTTACTAAACATGTACCTGTCACCAGTATCATTGTAGTCGGATTCGCAAAAATCGATTGTCGTCATCACGATTTTTGCACATTTGAACTGCAACGTTAAACGTAGTTTGGGTACGATAATTATATAGGGGATGAAGGTATGGTTGCATGTCGGACCAGTTGCCCTATTTAGAAAACTTCCTTGATGTAGGAATTGTGTTTAAAATTTGCCGGGGCGCCATCGTCTACCCAGTGTACCCAGGAAATGATTTGAAAGATAAAGGCAGCGTGAAAAGCTTCAACATCATTCACAATGAGACTCCAAATTGAGGAGTGCGTGAGGAAGTTTTAAGAGGGAAGTCAAGCAATGTTGAAATTGAGTTCATCAGTACTCGTAGTAATCCAGAATCAGTTTTAACAGTTATGAAAACAAAACAGCATTGCCAGCTTGATGTGGAGAATAATTTGTGTTGTGCCTTACCCAACATATTACCAAAAATAGATACCATCAAAGCAAAAACTGTGTCAACCATTACATTGATATCTGGACACTAAATTACTAGTTGTGGAAATGTGTTTGAAACGAGGAGGACAAAAACAAATCTCAAGTGCTGTTAACTAGAACTTGAAGAAAAACACGCACATAAATCAGTGTCAAACAACAAAATAAACAATCACCAACAACTAGTATTTAGTTTGAGTGACGAATTCATAGTAATTTAGTGTCCATATATCAATGAAATGGTTGACATGCACATAAGATATTTCAAATCATACATGGGCTAAACTGTATGCTCTTTCCATTAACTCTGTATAACGATAGCCAGCATGACTTCTTTCTACAACAACACACAAAATCTAATAATATAATGTAATAGATGCAAGTTTTCTTAAGCATACTTTAAATTTAGACTAATACCCGACACTGCTTTATATTTATGAAACATGTATAACATAAAGCAGTGGTTTGTCTCATTCTCGCTTAATTGTAATGAATAGTGAAGGCTGCTACAAGACCCGTGTACTGACTAGTCTCGTCTTGAAACACTTACAGAAATGAATACTGTTGCTCCCCAAATCAACATTGTTAACTATACCCGTGTTCTGATTGTACCACAGATGGATCTCATAAGTGACGAGATGTTTTTCATGATTATGTTTATTAACATGGGCATCATTTGCCAGACTATCTCTCTGTTGGGAACAATTGCTAACATAATTAACATAACGATCTTCATCAAACAGGGACTGTCAGACGCCACCAATATCTGTTTGCTGGCACTGGCTGTATCCGACTTATGTTCGCTCATCACTATCATGTGGACAAACGTCTGTTACACACCTTCTTTCAAAGACTCCAATGTTTTCTTGATTTCCTATGAAGTTCAGCTTATTACGGGTATCTGGCCGCACATAATATTTACTCGCACAACTGGGTGGATTACTGCATTTATCTGTCTTCAGAGATGTGTCTGCGTTATTCTTCCTCTGAAAGTCAGAAACATATTTACAACAAGACGACATATATTATTTATGGTGACCATATATGTAATTACATTAGGCTTATCTGCATTTGCCTATTTTTCTTTAGGTATTGGATGGAAGTTTGACCTAGCAAGAAATCAAACATTAGTCGGTCTGATTTATTATATGGATCCAGCCAGAAGGAAGATTGTGGATCAAATATCGTATGGAATCAATGGCGTTTTTATACCTATAACCGCCTTCTTATTAGTGGTGATATGTACGGTTATACTAGTAATTAAACTGAATCAGCAAGCAGCTTGGAGAACCGCAAGTTCTTCAGTTAATCACCAGACAAAGGACAGCTCCAGTAATGAATCGAACATGTCTGCCAGAGACAAACGGGTTTCTAAAATGATCATCCTTATCAGTTCTATGTTTATTACGTGTTTTATTCCTGCTGTCTGTGCGTTTATTGGAGGTTGTATTGAACCTGAACTAACTTATGATGGAGGGTATAAGAATTTATTTTTAGCGACACTTTCTGTGTCATTTATAACTGAAGCCATAAACTCCAGCAGCAACATATTCATTTATTTTTCAGTGAGCACAAAATACAGGAATACATTTCGTGACATTTTCAAATTAAATAAGTCAGTATGAATAGTAACATCAATATAGAACCAGCTTAATTAAACCATTTACTGATAAACACGTTATAGAATTTTGAATTATTCCATTTATTGAAATAATTAAAAAGAGAATACTCTCATGGCTTTTTCATAACTCTAGCATGCAAGATCTGTCAAAGTAGTCAGGCAGTAGAACTGTAGTATCGGACAGTAGTAGTAGTAGTAGTAGTAGTAGTAGTAGTAGTAGTAGTAGTAGTAGTAGTAGTAGTAGTAGTAGTAGTAGTAGTAGTAGTAGTAGTAGTAGTAGTAGTAGTAGTAGTAGTAGTAGTAGTAGTAGTAGCAGTAGTAGATTTTTACCCCACTAGGACATCACACAAACGATAAACACCCGATGACACAAAGTGCCACCATGTGGATGAGGATCACCGTGGAGATGTCCTAGAAACCGCGTTTAGCCATTAGACTATATTTATGGTCGGGCTATATTGCGGCCCCCGGCAAGAGCCAGAGTAGGGCTTCAAAAAACGAAAAATTGCATCTCGCAAGGAGATGACTGGATTATAATTTGTGTATAGTATCAGACAAAAGTAAGAAAACTAAGGAATGTAAAAATCATTGAGCTCAAATAACAGTCAAAAAGCTAACATATTTGATTATAATGTTAACGACGATTAATTTAAACTTGAAAGCTATATAACAGCGTTCCACTAATCATAAAAAGAAAGAAAAATAAAACGGAACTTTTGTTTCGACATGTTTGTGAAGAAAAACAAATGACCAGTAACAATTTTATTTGTTTGATTTTGTGACACTGGATACTGCCTGTCACCACCAGTACATATCTTCATATAGTCAATATCGTATGGCGAGGGTAGTCATGTCTTTATAAGCGGCTGGCTGAACGGTTGGAACGTTGGCCTCTCAAGCTAGAGACCCGGGTTCAAAACCTCAGTGAAACGGGATTTTTTCTGTCTGGAGCAAAAAATATTCCTCACCTGCACAGTCGCGGCGACAGCACTAGCCATGCGGCAGTTAATCCTCAGGCTTAAGAACGCCCCCCCCCCCGCCTACACCTCAAATTGGTAATAAAGGCAGTTATTGGCATGGGGGGGGGGGGCAGTGATGTCTATCCACAGCCTTATGGCTAGTGCATTTTTAATAATTTCTGACGTACATGATCTTCCATGCAATGCCGTCAACTGTCAAGGTTCTTCTCTCCTGGTTTTCACTCGTCCCTTTCTCCTCTAACTTTTCTACCGGTACGATGTATTCCAGTTTACAAATTCTCATGACATGTCCAGAGAATGTCGACTAATCTCCTTCTGATGCGGGTAACAAGTTCTCCTCGTGAGTGGATCTCTACATATATATATATATATATATATAAATATATATATATATATATAGCACATTCGTAGTCCACGATTCCTGGCAAAATAGAAGTATCATCAATTACTTAATGGAATTTTAATTTATTGTGACTGTCTATGATTGTCCAAAGATCTGATGATCGCTTGATGTTGGGAATATTAAAAAATAATAGTGACGATGGAAATGAAGTTAACGAGGACACTTTACACTGATTAAGTTCTAAACTACACTAATGTTGCACTGACAGCCTTTGGGTTGGGTGTGTATTTATCATATTGTAATAGCAATATGTTAATTTATTTAAAGAAACAGTTCAAATTAATAAATCGGGCAGTAATATTGATAGTCAAGAGAAACAAATTGTTACATGCATTGGCAAGGAATTAGCATTATTACCTGTGGGTTCCAGTGCAAAGATATTCTAGTTATATTGTTTTAAGATTTTATCAACGTGTGTCCTATCCGACGCCAGCGTCTTTTCCTCACCTCTAGGTTTACTAGAATTTGTTTAGTTCACGCCAAAGCTTAACCTTAGTGATTCTGTTATATCATTTAATGCACTCTTTTCTGCACAGGGACACGTTAATTTATATTTGTAGTCTATTAGTAATCGTTTTAGTTGTTCTCAATGTTTCTTCTCCATACATCAGTAGTAATTTGACCTTGAAATAAAAAAAAAATAAAAAAATTTAAGTTTAGTATATGTTTTAATTTCTTTTGATCTCCACAAATTTCCTAGTGTAATAAAATTTCCGCTTGCCTTTTGTTTTCGTATTTTAATATCTTTCTCAGTTTCTCTATCTTTATCTACTTTACTACCCAAATAGGTATATGACTTCTCATCCTGGACTGGGTTACCATTAAGAGAAACCATATTACTATATGCCTGATTTATTCTCATTGTCTTTGTTTTTCACTTGTTGATTTTAAGACCAAGCTGTTGTTATCTCGCGTTTATAACAAGTTAGTCACCTCCTTGTGGGATGCAATCTTTCGTTATTTTGAAGCTCCACCCCGGCTCTTGTCAGGGGTTGCATTATAACCCGGTCATAAATATGGTCTAATGGCTGAACGCGGTTTCCGGGACCTCTCCACGGGTGATCCTCAATTACATGATGACACTATGTCATCGGGTGTTTATCGCTTGTGTGATGTCCTGGTGGGGTAGAATGTGCTACTCTGGTTATGACATTAGCTCTTACAGTAACATGCAATAGCAATTCTTTCAGTAACATGCAATATCAGCTCTTTCAGTAACATGAAATATCAACTCTTTCAGTAACATGAAATATCAACTCTTTCAGTAACATGAAATATTAACTCTTTTAGTGTTAATTTAAATGATCCTAAACTAAGCTTTAGTTTTCTGAATTATAACATGCCTGGGTCTTAGTCAGTCAGGTGCCGCCTCCACAATGAAGGCTGACTGCAGTGTATCTGCATCACGCCCTGTCAAGTGTCTCTCAGACTGCTGTTCGTCGATCTCGTCACGTTGCCGTCCAACTTGTATTGTTGTTTGCTTCTTTCTCTCTTGATCTCGACATTGCTCTCTTGTGTGTTGTTTTTCAGTTTTAATGTCTTATTTATCTCGCTAGCTGTCAATAATTTTCGCATCTTTCTGGGTCTAAGAGGGTTAAAATTATACTGAAGGATAAAATCAGTTTGGAAAAAAAAAATAGGATAATGGGTTGAAGCAACAGGCGGATGAATAATATCGAAAAGAATAATAAACCGGCAACGAGGAATAGCGGCTGGAATGATCTAGCACTGGCTGAGTTGAGATCAAGCAATGGATCCTCTTCATGCCATAGGGGATCAGACGTGTGGTGATAGTAGTGTTGCCACTTTTCTTTGACAAAAAATATCCAAAACGGTGTCAAAAAATATCTAAAAAGATCTAAATCTGCGTGGAAAAGATCTAGAAAAAAATCCAAACTGAAAAAGTAAAAAATTACATAGCTTTTGTTATGACTTACTTTATCAACAAGTTTAGATTCGAACAGTTTATTCACTTTTTGCACTTCTATTAGAATAGTTTATAAAAAAAAAATAATGAATGACAAATTTTTTTCATTACTGTACATTCCATATAGTATTTCAGCTGTGTAGCACTTTTCACTTTGTCTTGTTATTTCAAAGTGTGTCTTCAACTTCAGCCATTGCTTCATAATTCTTTCAACAGCTGGATAAATTGATAACCATCTAGTTTTGCAATCTGACAGAATTTTCGGTGGTGTGGAGCCATCATTCAAGGCTGTATATAATGTATTGTATTGCTGTTGTCTGATAAATGATTTGGAAAACCAGCAAAGTGTTTCAGCAATAAGGTATTCCAAATTCCTTGTTAAATATTTAGATGAAGCATGTGATAATGCTAGCTGCAATGAATGACACATGCATTTTATAAGTATTAACGATGGGTTAGCTTCCTTTAACTTGGCATAAACGCCATTGTTTATACCAACCATCACTGAGGCATTATCAGTACCAATTACAGCCAAATTCTTCAAGCCTAACTGTTTGCTGATTAAAAGATCTTTCGGTTCCTAAACTAGACTTTCTACATCACACTTTTCAAATTGAACTAGTCCAAGATTTTTTACAAATCGATCAAATCGTCACAGTTTAAAATTGCGCAGTGACAAATTAAAAACATTGCGACTGATACTTCAACTTTTGATGATTCATTTATCAGTATAGTTCTGAAAACAGATGTCAGCGTTGTAATATCTTTAACTGAAACTGTAGTTTTATGCTTTTTTAGTCTCTGCACGACTCTTTGAGTTTTGTATTTTCGCTTTAATTTCACACTTGCAGTACTTACAACAAGCTTTGGTCATATCCCCAGTTTTTAATTTTTCTTCATGCAACCACTCTTTCCAAATTTTTTGCTCATACTTTACTTTTGGCATGTTGAAAGGTTTTTTTTTTCAAAGTGAAAGCCACATAAGAAGGTGAGCAATTATTTTTTTTAAATCACATGAAAAGGAAACGCAAAGTCAGCACAGTGAGGATACGGTTGAAACAAAGTTAGTATGATTTACGCGCGTTTTTATTAATCAGTACCGGGGCTGCCAGATATTTGTGCGTTGACCCCAGTGAGAGTTCAAAGTTCAAGTAATGGCAGTTGTCACAATGTACATGCCAGACCAAAACAAAAATATTGTAGTAAATATTTTATACAGTAATTATTAAATTGACAATGAAAGAAAAAAAAATCTATAAAATATCAAACTCCATATGAAAAGTATCTAGACAAATATTTACGATCTAAACATCAAAAACAGTATCTAAATGCAATAAAAAAGATCTTAATTTGGATATAAAAGATCCAAAGTGGCAACACTGGGTGATAGACACCATATTTTTTATAGACCAGTTGGCACTCTACAGATAACGTGGTTAACACTACATCAGCCGCCTATACTTTCCCCTAACATTTCCTGGTAGCCATTTTAGGCTAGGTCGAACTGGAATTCTAGATCAGATTTATAAAAGGCGTCTGGGGATATTTGAAATCCATGCCCTACCGACTGGCAAGCATGCGTGTAGTCACTTAACTACCTCAGCTTTCGGTTATTATGTTAAATTAGGTCATGAGTTTTCAAGTGTACCGTTGGCCCATATTTTGTTGGCATATTTCCGTCTTTACAGACAATA